ATTTGTATCTAATAAAAATGCACTTCAATTTCTAAGTGTATAATAATTATTCTTTCAAAGGTTATTTTGTAAGTTTAAAATAGTTTCTTGATTTTAGCTATCAAATTATGTATTTTTTATCTTAAAGGAAAAAAACTTAAAGATAAAAATACTTAAGGAAATGCTAATTAACTCATCAGCTCTATAGTTTCTTACAGTTTACACTGACAAATAAATAAAAAAAATTAATTTCAAACATAAACGAAAAAAAAAAAAAACCCAGTAATGGGTATAATATACTTTACTGAAAACAGTTGTCACTGTCTTCTAGCGCTTTTCTTTCTCCTCATATGGCAAAGGACTTCATTAAATGTACTATAATGCCAAAAGACTTAACTGATAGGAAATGTGAGCATATCAATCACTTTCAAGAAAGTCCAACATAGTTGCAATTATGTCACTGGTGGGAAAGAAAATGGTAACACTCATTTCCCTATAAATTACTCCATGTAAAGCTAGGTGAGATAAAATGGGTGGGTACCTAAAAGAAGGATGCAATCTGCAGTTTACTTAATTAACTAACAATATAACAACTACTCAAAGAGTATTTCAGACTATTCAACATTCAGGTGGTATGGGAGGTTTGTACAACAAAGGCAACTAGAGAACTAGTGAATGATTCAGGTTCTTGTAGATATTATTTATTACTACTAAGAGGAATGAAATAAATACACATTAATATTAGCACATATCATTTTTATTGAAGATAAAATGGAGTAACAGAAATAAAACTTAAATTATGTTAGTTATTGATACTCTAAGGCCTCTCCTAATTCCAGGTCTTTCCAAATTGTCACTTAAGTGATAATAAATTTACCAAAAATAAAGATCAATTTAATAACAAATTTCTACACATTTTACATCTATATCCTCATCGCACAAGTAATGAGGATCTTCAGCTCAGTTTAGTTTTTACATATTTTATATAAGGGTCAATTCAAAGGCAGAAAGTTTAAATCTATCAACTGCTCCTAGGGAGAAAAATGGGCAATCTCTTCCAATGAGATGTACAGCCTCTGAACATGTAGAGAGTCAGCTATGAGTTAGTTTTGGCTTTATGGCAATGACCTGAGTTGATACCCTAAATAATCAGTGAAATGTTTTTCACAGTCTTTTATGATTTCATGATTTCATTGGCTAAATATAAGGCAGATTATTAGGTTTCATTAGTCAAATGTAAAAAATAAATAAAATCATTTGATTTACATGTACACAAATATGTAATTTTATAAGTACAAGAAGACTATCACATTTATAGTCCTGTCAAACATCTCCTCTCTGGAAGCAGTTCTACATTTTGAGAACCAAAGCTAAACATATTATTTAAAAATTTAAAGATATTTTAATATATATGAAAAGTTTTTAGCCTAGGTTTTGAAGAAGTGGTTGAATGAAATTATACAGCATGTCTATTCTGCTATAAAATTTATCCCCATGAAAATAATTTCACTCATCTCAAACTAATATTCTAACTAAAGATCTATGCAATGAATTACCCGCTTGAAAAAAACAGAATCCATTTTTTAATGTACTTATATTATGAACATCTTTACCGCCTCAGGCAGAATTACAAAACTGCTGAATGATTCTGTTTCTCAAGGTAAATATACTCTGCATACACACACAGAAAAAAAGTGGTTAAGAACTGCTCAAAAACACCTTAATTAATATCTTGGTAAGATATTCCTCTTGCTGCTGAGAACACTCAGGTCATAAGATGGTAAAGAAGGAGAAGTACAGACGGTAAATAAAGAGAATTAAAAAGAGCCAAGACCAGACCAAAACAACACACAACTTACTCACACAGAGTAGCCCTGGCTCTGGTAGTTTCACTGTTATTCCAAACATTTTAATGCCAACTCTTCATTAATTCTCCCAAAAACAAACAAAAAAAACCAAGGAAAGAAAGAAAAGAGGACGTAACACTTACTGACCCTTGTTATAAAACCAGTATTATTACCCTGATACCAAAATCAGATTATATTGCAAGAATAGTGGATTCAGGTCAGTATCAATTATAAATAGAACGCAAAAATCCTCAACAAAATATTAGGAACCTGAATCCAGACATATAAAAAAAGGATTATATGTCTCTGAAATGTAAAGTTAGTTTAACTTGTGAGAATCAATCAATGTTCTATACTACAGCAATAGGTAAAAGGACAAAACTATACAATCACCTTAACAGATATAGAAAGAACGATTTAGGGGGGAAAATCAACACCCTTATGATAAAAAGAAAAATACTTCAAAAAACTAAGAATAAAAAGGAACTTCTTCAACATGATAAAAGACATCTCTAAAAAAACCAATGTTATAGACCATCAAGATGGAACTGACTTATAGCTGCCCCTCCAGCGAGTCTTTAGGGCCAGTAAATTGCACAGGAGGAGACTACCTATTATTCTCTCATGGAGAAGTTGGTAGACTCGAACTGTGTTCTTTCGGGTTGACAGTCCACCTCTACCACTAGGCCATCAAAGTTCCCTATGAAACATCCATCAGTAGACTAAATTCTTTGTTACAAAACTAAACATCATCTTACCGTATCACTCAGTAACCATGCTGCTAAGTGTTTACCAAAATGAGTGGGACTCTTATGTTCACACAAGTTTGGGAGTAGGGAATTGTGCTGCCAATACAAAGACTGACAGTTCACATCCATCAGAAAGGCAATCTCCTCCTATAAGATTTACAGCCTCTGAAAATCCACTGGGGTTGGTTCCAACTTGATAGCAATGAACAATATTATAGAAAATGTCCAGAAGTTCCTCACGGGTAGTTTAAAATGTGTAGAGTTTAAGTAATCTACAAAGACTGAAACTAGACTAGTGGTTGGTGGCTAAGTCCATTAGGAGTTGCACTGCTAACCCAAAGGTGGTATCTTGCTGGCAGTCTGAATCCACCAGGGGCTCCAAGGGAGAATGATGGACAGTCTATTCCCATGTGATTTATAGTGTCTCCTCCTCTTCTAGAAGTGGAGCAATACCTGCACTATCTATGATGAAACAGAATATACTTTTCTTACTATCACTGTTAGCACCAAAGCCAGTGTTTTAATCCACTTTAGAATATAATCTAAATTTTCAAAGTGACATCGTGTTCTACATGATTTGAGAATACCATCAGAACTCTATTCCTGTACCACTCTTGCATTTTTATATTCTGGATAAAAGTGTTATAATTATGTGTCATCAAGTCAGAACCACAGCTGACCCTCCACCACTTACTGCAAAAGATTAAACACTTTAGCCTTCAATATGGATTGTATCTCAATATCAAGAAAACAAAAATTCTCACCACTGAACCTATAGGCAACACAATAATAAATAAAAGATTGAAACTGTCAATGAATTAATTTTACTTGGATAAACAATCAATAAAATTGGTACAGGATGTCAGGAGATCAGGAGAGAACAGTGCACTGGCAAAGTCTGCAGTCAGGGACATCTCCAAACTACTGAAGAGCAATGATATGTTTAAGAACTAAGGTATGCCTGATTCAGGCCATAGTCTTTTCAATCACCTGCTATGCATCTGAGAGCTGAACAATGAATAAAGATGGTAGAAGAAGAATTGATGTCTTTGAGCTGTGGTATTAGAGAAGTGTACTGAATGTCCCATGGATTGCCAAAAGAATAAACTGATACATCATAGAGAAGGCGCAGCTAGAGTGTTCCTTGGAGGCAAAGATGATAAAGCTTCATTTCACATACTTTGGACATGTTGCAAAGAAAGGCTATTCCTTGGAGAGGGGCATCATGCTTGGAAAGGCAGAGGGATGGTGAAAGAGGGGGAAAACTTCAACCAGATGGACTGACACAGTGACTGTAGCAATGGGTTCAAGTATGTCAGAGACTGTGAAGATGGCACAGGACAGGACAGGGTTCAGATCTGCTGTCCACAGAGTCACTATGAGTTGTACCCAATTCGATAGCACAAAAGAACAGTGGTCACACTGTATTGCGTCCATATCATCCTAAGACTCAAAAAGAGGGCAGAGATGTGAGAGCTACAACCTCAAAAAGTCAACACCTAAAAGGTAAGAAATACTACTTATTTCGTTCAAGTCAAAATGGTAATCTAGGGTCTAAAAGAAATACTTCAGTAATATTTACAAGTAGTTTGGTAAACTTTATAAAAAGATATTTAAAGTTAGGATTTAAATGTAAATGTATAAAATCTTACTATCACTAATATAAAATACTAAATTTATACAGATATTAATCAGTTAAATAAAAAAAGGATGTGATTTTTTTAAAAAAATGAGAACTTCAACGTTTATTGTAACTTTCAGTACCTTGGGAGATCTATTTAAATACTATTATTAAGTATTACTACTTTTATTAAGAGAGTTCTGGTAGGTGAGTGGGGGGAAAGTTGCAGTGCCAACCCAATGGCATGTGGTTTGAATCCAGCTTCTGAAATCTCACTGGAAGGCCAGTTATATTTCATAACACTTTTATATAAAAAGAATAAAAAATGCAATAGTAGTACAGGAATAGAGTTCTAACGATATTCTCAAATCATTTAGAACGTGATCTCATTTTGAAAATTTAAATATATTCTAAAGTACATTAAAACACGGGCTAAGGCTTACTTATGGGATATCTTACATAGGAAACTAAATTTTAATTACCATCTGCTTTATCATTTAGAACGAAAGCATAGTTCTAAGAAGGTAGAATAGGATAAACATTTCTAAACAGTACATAAGCATGCCTAGTGCTTTTATCATCTTTAATCAAGGAAAGTATCTAATTCTAGCTAATTCTTAGAAGTCAAAACATTTTATAATGCTTCACATAAGAGCAGCATCTCTCCTCCTAATCTGCAATGTAGTCTTTTTCCTTATTCTGACAGTTTGATTAAAATTTACATGGTGATAAGAGGCTCTTGTACTTTTCATATCGATAGTAACTCTAAAGTAATTACTTTCCCAAGAAAGAAACTGCACTTACATCAATGTCCTCTTGGGTGAAAGTTTCTGGGTCTTCTCCCATCATGTTGGCTAAATGTCTCGTTCCTATCTTGAACTCTTCAATCTGCTTTTTAATAAAATCCACTGTGTACATTTCATGTCTTAAGGCTGGAACATTTTTCTTTGTCTTTAAAACTGTGACATGTTTTAGTCTTAATATCTAAAAGAAAATATTAAAGACAGATTTTTAAGCTAAATAGCCATTTTATAAGCCATCATCTTTAAACAAACCAAAACTTCAAACAGTTGTCTTTTTTTATTATGGTACTCGGTTTACAAAAGTCTAGAAACAAGCTAAAAGATCTTAAGGACGTTATTAGAAAGTGTCTTTTGTTCCAAAGTTTGCTTAACATCATGTGTTTATAAAGTATGTTTGAGTATTAGCATTTTGATACATTAAAAAGAAACATCTCTAAGTGATAGGCTATCTCCTTTCTCTGCTATAAAAGGTGGTAAAATGGTTGAACTTAATGGTTCAAACTCACCCCGTTGTACGGCAGAAGGTTGTCGGTAAGTGCTGTCTGCTGAGTCATGTACAACTCACGGCAACAATCTGAACAACAGATCTGACCCCATCCTATCCTGTGCCAACCTCATCACCTCTGACACACTGAACCCACTGCTGCAGTCACTCTAACAGTCCATCACATTGAGGGTCTTCCTCTTTTGCTGACTCTCTGCCTTTGCAAGCATAACATTGTTCTCTAATAGCCTCTCCTCATAACATGCCCAAAGTATGAGACAAAGCTGCTCCATCCCTGCCTGCCTCTTAGGAGCACTCTGCCTGCACTCTTTCCAAGATATGTTTGTTCTGCTGGCAGTCCATGGGATATTCAGTGCTCTTCTCTAACACCCCAGCTCAAAGGTATCAATTCTTCTGTCACACTTATTCACTGTCCTGCTCTCATGTGTATAGCAAGTGCTACAGAAAGAAGGCTAGGCAATTTGCTTCCATTAAGATTACAGCAAGAAAGTCCTATGGAGCAGTTATGCTCTGTAATAAATGGAGTTGCTCAGAGTCAGAACTGACTAGACAGCAAAGGGTTTGGCTCCTTTGATTTTCTTTAATAATTTATGCATTTGATACTAATTGAATGTCAAGCAAGTTGACATGATACATATGGATTAAGAGTAAAATGATATTTCTTTTAAAAAGGCAAATATACATGCAGACATAAAACAGCAAGCAGAAGACTGCTGAGTAAGCAGGAATGTACTTGGTAAGAGAATCCTTACACTGTGGTTATTAACCTTGTGTTAGGATACAAAATATGGTCTTATAAAAACAGATTTAGCTTAGCTTTAGGCTTTATTCTAGAATTCTATAGTTCTTAGATCAAACTGAAACAGGGAAGAAATTCTTCATTAAACTTTGAGAATATTTCTTATCATTGATCTGACTCAATGGTCTCTGTAAGAAACTATTGTTAGAAATAGGAACGTTGTTGTTATGTGCCATTGCGTTACTTGAGACTCATAGCAACCCTATGTACAAGAGCTCTAAATGCCATTCTATCCTGTGCCAACCTTGCCGCCTCAAACGCACTCATTACCACCACTCCAGTCACAGAATCAATCCATCTCATCGAAGGTCTTCCTCTCCTTCGCGGCCCCCCCACCCTGCCAAACATGATGTCCCTCTCCAAGGACCAGTCCCTCTTTGCAACATGCCCAAAGTATGTTCAGACGAAGCTTCAGAATCCTTGACTCCAAGGAGCATTCTGGCTTTACCTTCTCCAGGACAAATCTGTTTGTTCTCCTAGCAGTCCACGGTATATTCAACACTCTTCTCCAGCACCACAGCTCAAAGGCATCAATTCTCTTTCTATCATTCCTATTGACTGTCCCACTCTCTGATGCATAGCAAGTAACTGCGAAGACTACAGCCGGATCAGGCTCACCTCATCCTCCAGCCTGACATCGTTGCTCTTCAGTACTCTTGAGAGGTCCCTCACAGCTGACTTTCCCAATGCAATTCGTCTCTTGATTTCCTGGCTGCTGTGACCAAGAGTGTTGACTGTGGAGCCAAGTAAACTTAAACTGTTAACTATCTCAATCTCTTCACCATCCAAACTGATGCTGCCAATTGACCCAGTGGTGAGAATCTTTGCCTTCTTGACACTAAGCCACAATCCATATTGAAGACTGCAGTCATTGACCTCCTGCAGCAAGCAAGCGCTTCAGGTCCTCCTCAGTTTCAGCAAGCAGGGTTGTGTCATCTGCATAACACAGGTTGTTGATGACTCTTCTACCAATCCTGATGCTACATTCCTCCTCGTACAGCCCAGCATCTCGGATGATCTGTTCTGCATACAGATTGAAAAGGTATGGAGACAGAATATATCCTTGACGGACTCCCTTCTTGATTTTGAACCATGTAGTGTCTCCTTGCTCTGTTCTGACTACTGCCTCTTGGTCCAAGTATAGGTTTTGCATTAGCACGATCAAATGTTCTGGGATTCCATTCTTTTCAGAGTCAGCCATAGCTTATTGTGATCCACACAGTCAAAAGCCTCTGCATAGTCAATGAAGCACAGATAGACATTCTTCTGGTATTCTTTGCTTTCTGCCAAGATCCATCTAACATTAGTTATAATATTCCTAGAGGAACATTACCATACTTTTAAAATATATAATCATATCACACTTATTACTGTTGGTCCTTTGGCCATCCACTTCAGAAATAGCAGGCCTCTGAAAACCCTAGGTACAACAGAACACTCGCAGACTAACAGAAAGGACAGGACAGAGCAGAGTTTAGGGCTGTTGTACACAGGGTCGTTATGAGTCACAAGCGACTCGACAGCACATAAGAACAACAACAACAACAACAATCCCATTAATACCCCAGGTATTAATATTCCATCCTCAATATATTGTGTTAACAAACCAGTAAAACATCTTAAAATGACATTTAGCTGTCACTCAGTAGCAGGATATATCTAAAGCTGATCTTCATGATATTTTACTTTTCTCAAGATCTTAAAACGTATGGTTCTCACTTTTGGTCACCCTTTCCTGTGATGGGAGTATAGTTGCACTGTTAGCCCAGAGGCTGCAGTTCTCTGGCAGTGTGAATCTATCAACAGCTCTTCAGGGGAAAGATCGTTCATCTCCTTCTGTGCAAGTTACAACCTTGGAAACCCACTGGAGGGTCACCTATGAGTTGGTTCGGACTTGACAGCAATGAGTTCAAGCTTCGGCCTCTTCCAGCAGCTTTTAACACTCTTAAAACAATATTTAGGTTTTTTAAGGCTATGATCAGCAGGCAGAAAGCAATGCTACCAAGCCAAAGGTGGGTAACTGTAATCCGCAGCCCTCCAGCCTGTCTTTGTTTTTGGTGAAACATTCTTCTAGGCTGCACAGCCCTGGCCTGTCCACTTGCTGTATAGAGAGGAAACTCGTGGTTGCTGTGAAGCTGATGTGTCAAACGAGAGACATGGTGGTCAGTGTTTGGTGGAGCTCCTTGATTAAAACAAGCTTGGAAGCAGGAGTGGCATCCACTTACAAAATAGCTTGCCTCTGGAAACCCTATGAACCTGGAGAAAGGGCGAAAGTTATACAAGTGTCCAGGTCTTTCCTTCAAAGGGTCACTATGATTCGCCTACGACTCGATGGCACTTAACAACAACAACAACAACAAGAAGGCTAAGATCTTAGTAACCCATCTTCCACACATCATCACTAGCACTCCCTGTTCCTGCTCCATTACTTGTGGAATCATACATTCAAAAGACTTTACAAGGGGAGCTCTGGCGGCCTAGTGGCAAGAAGCTGCACTGCAATCCAGAGGCGCACGGTTCAAATCCACCAGATGCTCTGCCGGGAAAGGAGGGACAATCTCCTCCTGTACCAGTCAGATCCAATTTGACAGTACACACACACACACATAATAATAATAATAATAATAATAATAATAATAATAATAATAATAATAATAATAATTTACAGCTGTGGTGCTGGAGAAGAGTATTGAATGTACCATAGACTGCCAAGAAAACAAACAGATTCATCCTAGAGAGGGTTAACCAGGTTACTCCTTGGAGGCAAGGATTCTGGGGCTTCATTTGACATACTTTGGACATGCTGTAAGGAGGAACAGGTCCTTGGAGAGGGACATCATGCTTGGGAGGGTAGAGGGACAGCGCAGGAGGGGAAGACCCTCTAAGAGGTGGACTGATTCAGTGACTGGGATAATCGGGATGGGTGTGTCAGAGGCAATGCGATTGGCACAGAATAGAGCAGGGTTTAGGGCTGTTGTACATAGGGTCGCTATGAGTCGCAAACAACTCGATGGCACATAACAACAACAATAACAGAAGATATAAAACAGAAAGCTAAATTAAAGTAGGGAGCTCCAGTGGCTTGGTGGTAAGGAATTGCACTGCCAATGCAGAGGTGATGGTTGTTGTCTGGTGCCGTTGAATCAAGTATGACTCATAGTCACCCTATGAACAAAAGATCTGAACTTTTTTCTATCCTGTGCCATCCTCACATGTCCAGATACACAAGAGCCCACTGTAGCAGTCATCGCATCAATCCACCTGGTGTAGTCTTCCTCTTTCATTGACCCTCCATCATTCCCAACATCATGTCCTCCTCCAAGGAATAGCCCCTTTTAGCAACACGCCCAAAGTATGTGGGGTGACAATTTGCTAAGTGATTAGTCTGTATCCTACAGGGGATTGGTTGGTCTGCTATCTGCCTAAGAAGCTTGAAATTCACCCAATATGGTTGGTTCCAATAATTAAGTCACACCCTGATAATGACAAATAGTTTAGCTATGTAAGTAGTTAATCTCACCAAGGTTTTTGTGGGATTTCTTGATCAATAAAAGCCTGGAAAGGAGCAGATCCTTTTGACCTAGGACTCCTATGCTGAGAACCTCCTAGACCCAAATGAAAGTTCTGTACTAAACTGGAAACACGGATAGCACTTAAGACTAAAATAAATGAGAGCAAGCACAGCAGAACCAGGTAATAGAAACAGCTGCAGTGTAATAGAATAGTAGGAACCATGAGACCAGTGATAGATGAGTTGGCAAGTGAAGATGATTATGGCAGTGGCAGAGCTGACTCCACAAACAAAGCTGGTGACCTCCACCAAGTTACCAACAGAGCCTTGTAAAGGAGAAGTGGCTGCTTGAGCTCATGTAGACAT